TTTAATGTCAACTTCTTTGACCAAACCTGTGATGGGACTATAATATTAGAAAATTAGCAGGAATAATTTGGGCCAGCGTAGAAAACAATAGACAACAATGGGCCCAACTACAAAGACAGTATCTTAATATGTGATGGAGGCCACACCATAATGAGGAAGATGCATATATTTTATTTTTCGCCAGAAACTGTTCAATTTATTAGAATAAATTTGTATAAATGCAAAAAAAACTTTTTTCTTGAAAGCAGTAATACAATTTTATAAAATGGGCCATTAAAATACTATGGATAACGCAAACGACGCCTCGCGAATTGAAACGATATTCTATTGGTCTGACGTCACCCGCCGTTCTTGTCGACGCGCGATGGCCAGCAACAGCCAGACGTGTTCCGTTATTTAGGTGGCGTACTAAGACATTTTTGTTGCTTTTAGCGTTGACTGAAGGAGTTTTTTATGCTTTTTTGTGCAGTTAGTATTTGTATGTGTTGTGTGTTCTGAGAATTTTTTAAGTAATGGCAGATTCCGGGTTTGTAAAAGCACAATCAGATAACTTGCCAAAAGTCGATGCTTTTATGTTGGCTGCTTTTATAAATACAAATTCCCAATTTATTGGTGCTGAATTACGAGGAAAAAACAGAGAGGTATGTAACATTTATTCTTTGTAGTACTGAGGCATATTTAAGTATAAGTAGGTACCTACTGTTACGAACTTTTATATAGTTATAAATTAATGTTATAAACTTATTTATCAGGTAGGGAGACGTATGGAGATAATGCTATAGGTTATGTAGAAGTGAAAAGAGACAAAAATATTTCTTTAGTACGTGGAAAAATAACTCCAGAGCATAGCGTGAAAAAGAAAGTTTTTTTTTTATATATTCCCTTACCCTTGTTATTTTTAAAGATTGTTTTTTTTACGAAATTATAGGAAATAAATTGTGCATCAGTAATGAAAATATTATACAAGGTGTCCCATAAGCAAACGCCAAAATTAAATTACTTTTTTAAGTGAAACACCCTATATATTTTTGGATTCTTCGGAAATTTCTAGATATTCTAGATATATTTCATGTATAATATCCTATACCTATCTTCAAATGTTTACGAAATATTGACAGTTGAAAAGCGAAAAATACCTACAATTTTCTGGACCGCCTTTTTTGAGACACCCTGTATAACTAGAATTAATTTTAAAAGAGAGTATATGAAAAACCATGCAACTTTTTTATTTAATGTTTTCTTCTAAAACTTGCAGTTAAGGCTGTATATGGGTGTCAAAATATAATGAATAATCCTGTACATTCAAATTTCATATACCTATGTAAGACAATATACATAAATATATGAACTTACATCAAAATGATCTTCACAACAATAAATCGTAAAAATAGAGGATAATTTAACGTTTTTCTTTTCATCTCTTCTCATGGCCTGGGAGCATTTTTTTCTGTTTTTGCTCATCCATTACTATTTACAAATATCACTAATTACTAATTATGTATTAATTAACACAAATAACTAAAATTTTGACACGGATTCAACAGCGTTTAAAAGCAAACTGTGTAAAATCAGTGTTGCCGCACCCTACTTTTATCGCGTACCACATTCTAAACTAAAAATGTACCACTTTGGTACAATTTTTTAAAGCAAAACAAAATGCATCTGCAAATGACTTTAAGCGGTTTGGCCGTTGTGAATTTCTTCATAAATTTCTACATAAAAAAACTTCATGGAGAAAGACACAAATCGAGACGAAAAACATGAAATAGAAACTCAGAAAACCCAATTTTAAGTATAGGTTGAAGAAATCTAGTAATTCTAATACTACACACGATACTTGGAAAACTTTTATTAAAAAAAAACGTAAATATAGAAGCATGTTAGAAACAGCAAATTTCCAAGTTTTTTTCGGCTTATTTAATATAGGTAACCCTATAGACATTACAACGTTTATATGTCGTTAATTATGCGGATGTCTCCGAATGGTATCGGTAAGCGCGTTTAATGCAATTTCAACGACAATAATTATTAAATATTTATTCATTTTCGGTGCGCGTGGGAAATAATTATTGTACCAAAACATCCTGGATTTGAAAATGTAGTACCACTGTACCAAATAGAATTAAAAGTATCAAATTTGGTACAAATGTACCACTGCGGCAACACTGTGTAAAATAAACACGCGTCTGGCTCCACTCAACCAGAAGAACGGCGGGTGACGTCACAGCGGCAAGGCGCGGTAGAGAGCGTTTGCCCGGCCATTTAAATTAACAATATTTAATTATTTTATATTAGAGGCATTTCTTAACCGATATCAACGATTTTTTTTTGTTCAATTTGTAATTATATGAACTATTTTTTAAAACCATTATTTAAAAACATGCATTTTCCTCATTGTAAATGGTTGAATAAGCTGAACATGATTATGATGATAATTCTAAATTTCAGAGAAACGGTAATAGGCCAGTCGCCAAGTATTAAAAAATAGCTTATGACGGGAGCAAATCCGGACAAGCTAGGATAAATTTTATTTTATTTAGTTTAGTGCAAGGAACAACGTGTTAAATTTGCACCACCCCCAAAGCCCGGATTTGGCCGCCATCTTAGAAAAAGTGGCTAAAATTCAGTTTATTTTTCATTATTTGTCAATAACTCGATTTCTATCAACTTTAGTGCAAAAAATTATCTCGGTTTAAACACGCTGAATATATTACGAGTATAAGCAGTTATTATTTCCTCTATTCTAGGCAGTTTTTGTCTTTCCGAGAACACTTTTTATTTCTCCACGCATTTAGTGGCTGCGACACCACATCCGTATTATACAGACAAGGAAAAATGAAATTCGTTAATGTTTTTTTACAGCAAGAAAAAGAATTATTACAGACAGTTTCGCAAACTTTCAAAGGCCCAAACGCATCCCCAGAAGATATAGAAAAAGCTGGAGAACGATTTCTTCTTCACTATATGGATCCAAAAAATGCGACTCATTAGATAAGTACAGATATCAGTGTTTCGTAAAATCTATTACCAAAAGCTTACCAAACCTAGCATTATTACCAGCGACCAAAGACGCAGCTCGCTTGCACTCCTTCCGTACGTACAGTCAGGTACAGCTATGGTATAGGAATGAAAAATCACCTCTGGATTGGGGATGGAAAAATTCAAAAAATGGGTTGATGCCCATTGCTACTTCCCAAGATGCAGCTCCCCAAGAATTATTAAATCTGATTTCATGTAAATGTGCCAAAGGTTGTAATACATCTTGTAATTGCCGCAAAGCAGGTTTGCTTTGCTCGGTAATGTGTGCACTTTGTCAGGACAAATCATGTTCGAATAGTTTAGAGGTGGCAAAATTAGACAAAGATGAGTACGAGGACAATTTTTCTCTCGGTAAAGATCAACGAAAAGAATATTCTGCACCTTATGAACCAGATCCGGAATATGATACAGATGTGGAAGACATTCAGGAAGATTATATTGAACAGCCAGTAACATCAAAAAAACGAAGGAACTCTGATGAACCTTCCACCTCAAAAGAAACCTAAGTTGACGACATGTGGATTATATTGGAAATGGGTACTTTACCACAAGGCAGCTCCCTGAGAGATAAGGCGGTTAAACTTAATTTTCCACCAGTCGCGCAACAATAAAAATTTAGTCCGTTATTGCGGTCATAATGCAAATTGCGTTCTTCCATTATGACCGCCACATCAGGCTACTGCCAACCAGTAGCAAACAAGTTTTTAGGCTTTATGTCTCGGGGGTGCCGCTCAAGGTGGTGTGGAAACAAGTACAGTTAACCCCGGATATATTGAACACGTACATTATATCAAACTTTAATTTTGTTTTCGTAAAATTCGATACTTTGGGTAGTCGCACGAAAAAAACCCATACAACGTTTTTTATAGAGTTTTTCCTCTTCTTTAATTTTGGTCTCTACATATTACTTTTATACTACTACATACGAGATAACTTGGAAACGGGTCGTCGCACGGAAAAAGTACATAGAACATTTTTATAGAGTTTTTCTTCTTCTTTAATTTTGGTCTCCACATATTTTGCACTAAAGTTGATAGAAATCGAGTTATTGACAAATAATGAAAAATAAACCGAAATTTAGCCAATTTTTCCAAGATGGCGGCCAAATCCGAGCTTTACGGGGAGTGCAAATTTAATACGTGCTTCTCGACACCAAACTAAACAAAATAAAACTTATTCCAGCTTGTCCGGATTTGCTCCCGCCATCGATGCACTTGCCGACTGGCCTATATTTGATTTTCAAACACAATTTGGTGTTGAATTTTCTTACCGAATACCTCGTCTTCGACTCGGGATAATTTTCAAAATATTCATGAGCTCGAAAAAATTTCCGGAAATAATTTGACCTCTAGTGGTATTACTAGAGATAATTCTAAATTTCAGGGGAACGGCAAGGACATGGAAAAAATGTTTCAAAAAAAGCTGTCCCCCAGCTTCTAGCCACCCTATCTCGGTTAATTTTGATTTGAGCAAAAAAGTATAGAGACCATTTTTATGTAAAATTGAACGCTCTACAACTTTTATTTGAACTTTTTTCTTTACTGTTTCTCTGAAGTTTCGAATAAATAATTTTATTTGTTTATCTCACCCCTTTTCGGGGGTGAATTTAAAAAATCTTTCACAATTCGTTTGTAGATCGTTCAAAGTAACTTATCAAAAATTCAAGTTTTTACCAAAACTTCGTATTGAAGGCCTATTTTCTTGGACTATAAAGATATTATCCTACAAGGATATTATACTATACTGTGTTATAGGGAAAATCAGCCAAAAATATGTCTAGAAGATACACTTTTTAATACTGCTTTTTCATTTATTTATGATATATATTTATATTTTTTATAAACATACATAATTTACAGGATGATATTACCAAATCACTATTAATTATAAAAGATATAAATAAATATACACTCTTTTACATGAAAATCTAAATAATTTTATTTATTTTTAATATTATTTACCTTTGTAATTTGTTCTTGGAGGTTCGATTATCTGAAACAAAATGAATAATAAATTTAATAATAGCAATTTTAGTGTTTCTTTTATCAACAACGATAATTTACAGAAATATATTTTTGCAATATGCTGTTATTTTCTAAAAAGAAAAAAAACAATATTGTATTTGTCACTTTAATCTTAATCAACTATTCTTACGCCCACTATTGTGATCTCGGACCTAACCCTCATCAACTGGGCTGTCTTGGAGTGGATTTTCCCAACTGGAAAACTAAATGTAAAATATAACACCCTTGTTTCGATGTTGTTCAAAAATGTCAACCTAATTTTACACACAGATCTCTATGAAATATAAAAATGACAAGAGCATTTTTCATATTGTTCTAACATACCTATATAAAAGAGTTTCCTTATTTTGATTTATTTTTAAACTTGAAAAAAACATGCTTTTGAATAAGTACTACAAAATTCATGACGAATATTCAATGCATATTTTTTTTTCACTATTGAAAAAATTATTATTATTATCATTATTTTATTCACTTCAAAAATTGGACTAAGAACTATATTTCTCAATTTTTTTATTTTCTCTTAGATATTTTTTCATAAATTTCGATTACTAGTAATGGAAATTCATTGCATCAATGAATCAAGCCGCAGGATAAATGTAAGAGATTATTGAAGTTAATGAAATATACTTTTTCAGTTATTTTTAGTACACGTAAATGCATTTCCGGATTAAAGTAGCCTCGTGTCACCTAAAATTAGATATCGAATTCGTACATCAATTTATATTATTGGCGTTGGAAACATATAATTTTATTTTCGGTAAACTATAATGAAAAATATATTGCAGTTCCGAAAATATTTTAATTGATATGTTAGAGTGTGTCAGTTAGAGGTGTGAGTGTTAAAAAATAATACGATCAGGAAAAATTATTCAATTATAAATTTATAAAAAAAAAATATATTTTATTATATTATTTTAATTATTCGATTTAAATTAAATTTGGTATGTCGATAAATTGGACCAAGGACCAAGGCCAACTTGATAGTATACTGTGACAGTTAGTTTTGACATAGTAGAAGGAAAAGAGTAGTTGCACTCTCCCAAATATTTTCTGCCAGTTTTTACAATCTGTTGAATATCGGCAGATTGCAGAGCGTTTCAGTTGAGTCCCGTCCGAGGTCCCGTCCGTCGACCTGCGAGGTTCAAGCGTTGCGTCCCAGCACAGAGACGGATTGACAAAAAATGAGTGCCTTACTGCGTGATGCTATTGGTTGTAGTAATAATTCAAAAAATTGTGCTTTGAGTTTTTTTGAGAGTCATTTGTGATCATGTTTGTGTTCAGGTTAATTTTCTCATGATTGATTACTACTTAATAATTTAATATTATTTTGATTTAAACCTCAACCTTTTATCGATTTTACTTTTGACAACCATCCCTTGCTTGCTGTTTAACAAACTGCACCATCATTGAACAAAAATTTGCTTGTAGGTACCGAAAAAAACTGGAAATCCCGTTTCCTTAGAGGTATGGTACCGAAATTATCGGTTACCGTGAATCGCCCTATACAGGGTGAGTCTTAAATAAGTGCAAATTCTTTTAGGGGTACTATATTTTGGTTGCGAAACAGAAACATGAAGATTTTTCTGCGCAATTTTTTTTTAAATTTGGAATTTTTTTAGTTTTTAGTTAAAAAACATAATTTATGATAATATGGTAATTAGGGTTCAGAACCGGAAATTCCCGGTTCTTTTGAGATATCAAAGAACCGGGACTCGAAATTATTAATTCCCTGTTCTTTCGGTACCTTCTGGACTCGGCAACATTAACTAAAAAATCATTCTTTTACTATGTGAGAAAGTAGTGATGCTATTTTTCATTGTTTTTGCTTCTTTTCTCTTTTGAAATTTCTGTAATTTTTATTAGCAATTATTGAAGTTCAAATATGCGCACATAGTGCACACACAATTTTTTTTTCAATAAGAATGTTTTTGTTCATTATTTCAAGAAATATTTTTAAGTATACCAACACCAAAAAAACTGCTGTACTGTCAAGATTACAAGTTTGAAATTAGTTTCTATTAATAGCATGAAACAATAATATCTGTGGATTTGTGTAGGCATTAAATCAGTGTGAGAGATAATAAAAGCAGATTGAAAAAATAATCAATTTGAAATCTATTTTATTCAAGTAGTATACACATACATCTTACTAATATACTATAAAAAAATACAAAAAAATTAAATGGAAAATCAATGAGACATTTAAGAAACAATTCTTATGAAAAAGAATATATAATTATTTGAAGGTACTTTAACGCAAAAATAATAAAACATAAATTTAATATATAAAAAGATACTTTAATATGATATTAAAATGATAAGGAATAAATCACTGAAAACTTTATTACCTTTATAATATATGGATTAAAATTAATTTAAAAATAACGTCTTGTATGCTTGTGGGTATGACGTATTAAGTTTGTTACAAGTTCCAAATTAGTTCGGGCCAGAGATTACAATTTCTCAAACTATTTAATCTCAATATTGAGGGAACATAAGTCTCTCATTTCAATAGAGGATTATAAATTGCCTTTTAAATTTATTAATTAATTTAGGACCAAAATTCAAACCTAAAACATATACGAGTATTATTAAAGAAACTGTATCCTAGTACAATGTAATCGAAATATTTTTTAGACGTCATATTCTATATATTTCATACCATTTGAACTTTTGGTTACGTAATCGAGGGCGCAATTTTTAAATTCATTGTTACCAACCATGGCAACATATTCGTAGCCACGCTGACCAACTGGAATTTAAATTTCCCGCTGGGGATTCAGGTGGTAGCTCTGCTGTAAAAAATGTCAAGTTGCACACATTTTTGACATTTGAGTTTTTGATTTAAATGAATTGTGTTGTGATATATGTTAAGCTTAAAAAATTTTACTAGCAAACCTTGCAGTCGAACATTGTTCTTTTTAGAACCTCTCTTAGTGCGAAGTGTGCAAGATAGCTGAATAGTCAATGTTTCAATTCAAATAGATTGAAGTTTTGTGATTACAACGATATATAATTTATATGGTTTTGTAACAAATTGCTGGCTGTTTTATGGCAAATGCTGAAGCTTTGCAAAGCCTAATCAAAGCATGTGTGTTTGGATCGGGCTAAGCCTTATGCAGATTTCTGAAATATAATATATATTTCCTTCGGCCACACACCCGTTTTACCCGACCCCTGAGAGCGACCCGAAAGTAGAGCGTAATAGACCCTTAAAAACAATAGTAATTTTGTAAATAAAATTTAAGCCATTTAAAAAAAGTGGAAACAAAAGGACTTTTAGCACTGTTTCAAATAAGATAAATGGATTCAGGGTTTCAGCATAGTTTATCAGCTAGAGTAAACCAAGGTATTAGATCTGAAATATTTTCCTAAGAATAAACGCTTCGGGCAAATGCGAAATCACGAACGCAAAATAAATCTATTTTCCTTATGGACGAAAAAGGCGGAAGCAGTAAAACAACTTTGCGCGAAGTTTGAAGAAAAACTGTATTTCTGCTATTTTTCGCTTTGTTTGAACTAGTGGAAAACAATGAAATACTGCGTTGTTTTGTTTTTTTCGATTTAAAAAATATATTTTTGCTTCCATCTTTAAATAAACTTGTTTGTTTATAAAAAATCTAAAATGGTTATTGTTTTTCAAATCAGTTATAGTTGTTTAAGTATCATGGTGATACCGTGGGCAAAGTTTCTGTGCAAAATATTTTAGGAAAGAAAAATAAATTATTTTATAAATATATAAACAGCTAAAGTAATTTCGGGTAATATGGCATAGACCGGGTAATATGGAATACCTTATATTTTGATAATCATTAAAGGGTGGATAGTTTATAGGATATTTTAATAGAACTATTTTTAAAGCTTATAGTTGGGAGTTGGAACCGTGCGTTGGTTTTACAACAGCAAAATAAAACACTAATTAACAAGAATACACCAAAACACATTACTTTTAACAATGGACGCACGTTCCGCACACCGTTTCAGCATCATCAGCAGATGACTAAAACTAAACTGTTATCTACAATTGAGCATTTATATAGGCACTCTGTTGGTACTGACCAAGTATGACAAAATAAGGCAAGCGAGTCAAAATCTATCTAGTGTAAAAATTAATTACCCTCTATTGTGTAAATTGTTCTCTGTCTAAGCTTGCACAAATGCCGGGATGGAAATATTTTGGTGCGATTTTTGTACATAAAACAACTAGTAGTAGTAAATTTTGTTTACCGTTCATTTTGTATAATTATTTATTCTATCCCATATTACCCGCCATACCTATTCCATATTCGATGTACTTAAACAGCCGTTAAACGGTAGCCTACTAAAATGCCGTTAATAGATATTGTGACGTCGTTCATGTCGGCGGAAAGTAATGCCTAGCCTTAAGCTTTTTGTAAGAGCACCTGTGGGTCAGTGGCTGAGGCTCAGGTGGATGACACTTCTTATAGGAGAACTGGCAATGATTGAAAACTTGACTACAAGCGATTTTCTAGGAATCTTCCTTACCGATAAATTATTGACAAGAGTTACAGATAAAGCCTTGACGTTCTTTCAGTATTCCAGTTCATCTCTTTTTCTTTCTAAAGTGTGCATTGAAAGGAGACAAAAACAATTTTTGGTGACCCATAATTTGTTATTCGAACACCACTTTTCTCCTTGTCGGGTCGTTGACGTTGACTTGTCGCCATTTTATTTCTTTTGTTTACACGCTGCATTTTGCTTTGCAAATTTAATACATAAATTATTTGGGCAAATATATAGGTTTTTAATAAAACTCCTCGGACTAACGTGTAGGTAAGTGTTGATAATTTTTTTTTCATCTTAACATGCTCATTGTCGTTCTCCTGATTTTAGGTGACAGAAATGGATCATCAAATCAAATTGAATTTTATATTTTCTTTCCTATTTATCTTTCCTCAATATCAACGAGATGAGCCCTCGGAAGAAAGGGACCATAGTACAAAA